TCTTAACATTACCAATACAACTTTTAAACGGGAACTTGGTTTAAACCTTTGTTTGATATTCGATTCTTAATGAAAGTTCTTGAATAAATTTTTGAATCGAATGCTACTTTGTTTTATCTACTTAATCGTTGCAAGGAACTTGTGATACACGAGCCACTCAGCGCCTAGTTTGTGTGTGCAAATGGTTGTGGACGGAATAGAAGTTTTCGCTTAACAGACTTCCGTATCTAGAAGAAGTGGATCATCAGTGCCTCCAGGTAGGAACCTAGGTGTATTAACTATAATAGATTAGAAAAAAAGAATTTGGGAACTCATAATACGACGTTATTCGTAGTCCTTAAGAATAGGTCACGTTTCCTCTTGAAGGACTCCTGGAAAGTCACTTGAACTAGCCCAGCCGGCAGCGAATTCCAGCATTTGACATTTCGTAAGGAGTAGAAGTTGTGTTTACAGTTTCTGGGTGCTACCCCTTGGGCTAGTGTTGGAACTAAGCTTAAGTAGGTGTTTAAGAGGATGTCCAGAAGTGTTAAGGATACTGTAAGCCATTAGAAGGTCACCTCTAAGACGTCTATACTTTAATGGGTAAAGGTTAAGTGATTAGAGGCGCCCTTCATAAGGTGATTTGGTACGTATCTTCGTCATTTTCTTGGAAAACCTACAGACTCGTGTCCTCTCACAACTTATTCTAACCACCACGTTTTGTTACGGCAGCTAATGGACGGACACGCGTTACACATCCCAACCGTCCCTGCTTCTAATTTCATAGCTTCTTATTCAAATGTCATATGATATGCAAGTAATGCCTCTACCGACACTAATGGAACACGAGTAACTCAAAGGCACCCTGTATGGTACCTTACATTGGTCTACGCACTCACTTATCTCTTAAGTGCTAAACATCCTATGAACCCCCCTACCTCCATCAAAACATATAAATTTGTATTTGCTGCATATAGCAATTTTATTTTTCAGAAGTAAGCTATAAGTTATAATTAGAGTAAAATGGCAGTATACAGCAGATGCACGTGGTACATGTCTTCATCGATTAACTGAAATAGAGAACACGGATATTAGCTTAACTGGCTTATTTAGAAAGACTAGTGTCTACTTTGAACTTACTGCGTGAGAAAGTTATACTGGGACTATGAATAATGTAGGAACCTAGTCAACCAGGGTGTACGAAGCACTCAAACTGGAAGACAGTTTTCCAAGAATAATTCGAATATGAAGGTGAAAATTTTCAGGTACTTTTCATCGTAAGGGTGGACATATTAGGTATCGGTTGACGTCATATCGTAAAAAACAGATTTGCTAGTGATGAAATATGATCTATAAAAAAGTTAGCTTAATAACAGTTAATCACTATTTTACTCCCTGATCATGTCCCTTCGGCTTCTTTTTATGGCCAAAACAGCAACCATACACTGCACACTGATAGCAGATTTCCGGCTTTTCAATGTTAAGCTTGCTTTAACGCACTACGTAACGAGCACAGCCCCTCTGTTACTGCTATATGACATATTTTTTATAACAAATCCTCTGCAATAGATTGGTAGTATCTGTGACTTCGTCTACGCTTGTCGGAAGTCTGAGTCCTTTCGAAAACAATACTGATATCAACTACTGCTGGGCACTTAGTATTAGTTTGACTCGTTGACGGGATAGTGTTGTACATAATACTGAAGTAAATTAAAAACCGGAGATTATTTCCTTTCATTTTGCCGATAACATCATAAAGGACAGTTAGGAACGAGCATGCGGACAGTTAGTCACAGGCTGCAGCAACAATTATTTTAGCTAAAAAAGCGAACTTCGGCTTTGGATATCTAGAAAACAAGTCAAAACAAAACCGATTACCATTTTAAAACATAAGACTAGCCAGCTTGGCTGAAGAAATACATTGACTTGAGCAGAAGTAGCAAAAACCCAAAAAACAATGCTGATTCGAAATAAATCTCACACCAACATATAATTCAAGTACTTCTAATCATCATATAACCTCAATAGTTATTTTTTTAAATTTCAAAATGCTATGGTTTGCCAGCTACCATAGTGAAATGTTAATAATGATTGCTAGGGAACACAATCAGTCCGAAATTTGTTACAGAAAGAGCACTAGCCAGTTAGTGTTCGTATGAAATGGTGAACTCTTAGCATCTCAGAGACTCATGATAAATTTCCAAGTGAAATATCTTGTGGATTTACATGATACTTTGTTCATCTTTCGATAAAACCAAAGATTTTCAAGTAATCAACGATGAACTTGTATCCTAGAGTGTCGTAGCCTTATTTCATTTTTTAAGATGTAGTTCAATGACGCTACATTTTCCCTTTTCACGAAGTATATAAACTTTTCAGAAAACCAAATGTGAATCTTAAAACTCACTAGACCTCATGAAAATGTGTCGAAATAAATGGAAATTTCCTAATCATCATCCAGAGATGTCTATTAAACCGATCACGTGGCACAAAATCAACGACAAATTTCACCTAACGAATTATTCCACTGTAAATGAAAAACATTTGACATCGTGAACATATGTTTAGAGATGAGAATAATTGAAATGCCAAACAAATTCACGAAATATTTAAAATCGGTACTGTTTATTTAAACCTAGATTTTAGATAGATCGTTAATAACAGCTTGAGAAATCAGAGCATTAAAGTGACAGACGGTAGATTATGGATTGACAGCTTTGAGAGACCGTATTCGTCAGTATAATTATGCTTGTACAAACTAAATTACATGCCCAGTTCGTTCCTCATTAAATCTAGCTGGTAAGCGCTACTAAGAAGAACAGTGAATTTATGCGATTCAAAATTCATTTTAGCAAGAATTTGTTTTTTAGATTTACCTACGCTTGGAGTAAGAAGTCCAAGGCACATGATACTTTAATATTCATGAGATGTAGCTATATTTAGCACCTCTTAAATTTATTTTCACTAGCCACAGACGGGCAAATCTGATTCACTTAGTTATGACGATTAAGCGAACCAGTTTTTGGAGCAATCGTGCGTTTCGACTTTGTCATTGGCCAGGGCACACCATTCCTGTCTAACTGGAGTTAACAGAACGTCAACAGAGATAACTTGTCTTGGTTAACTGCATGCATTAATAATGCCGAAAAACTTTTTGTCTAAATAACCAAACCTCGTTAATTTAGCTACAAATAACATGGACTAGATTGTTATTACGACTGTTCTTCGTTGCCTATTTGTAGAAAATTCTCGTATACATGTCTGGCGTCGTATTGTGCTATAATAAAGAATATAATCATCAAATTTGCAGTATATGGTTAAGTAGTGAGGCAAAAATATTTCCTTTTTGTAAAAAAAATTGAGCGAGAAACAAATCGTTCAAATTAAAATCTGTAGTTCAATATATCGTAGTGTCAAAATTTAAAGAATTCTTAAAAAGTTCAATAACCTCATTCACAAACGTGTAGACTTGTTTTTATAATAGTCGTATATTTACTTTTTGCTTATATTTGATGAAGACGGATGATTTTGTACTTTCTTTGAGGTTCAAAACATGTTCGTTTAAGTTCATCATTGAACAATCATCTAAGGCGTAATGTTTGGGAGGTGTTTTAAACACACACACTTTTCTCTGATATACTTCTAGCTTGACTGCCGTATTTTAGTAGCGTTATGACTATTTTGTTCTCCAGTGTTGCTTTTTGATTCACTTATCAGGTTTTGTCTATTTTACATGCTTTTTGAGTCGTCAGATCTAATTTTAGCATGTGCTTTTCTGTTTTATAAAACAGAAGGTGATTATAATTATAGTCACCATCACACGCTACTTTTCATACTCTTCAAAAACACAGTGTACCTCCCGTGTAGATGCTTAGGTTTTATCGACTGATAACTATGTCAAAGGCTAGTCATTTTAGGTAGTGATGAAAGTCTCACTAATTAATTACTATCATATGATAGTGATTATAATTACTATCAGTGGATGTAATACATGAGGTGTTTTGTTATGGAATAGGAACAGTGGTGTAAAGCCGTCTACAAAAGATCTAGAAAATAAATTTTAGAGATTCCTTATGTTTATACTGAATGTGTAAATATGCGGTGGTTTAATGACAGTTTGTTCCTCACCATTGAATTGGAGAAGCCTTAATGAATTATATCTTGTGTGAGAGTAAGCCATATGATAAATTTAGACGACAGTCAACTTGTTTACTTGAGGTTACGAATGGTGTTCCCTAAGTTTGTGTGGCCATTTATTTAAAAAATTTTAGCTAAATTTTTGCAAGGATCGTAAGACGTGCAGTTTTATGAAATTCGCTCGAGAAACATCGGATGCACTTTTATTGCTGATGAAAAAGAAAGAGCTACACCAACTTATTGGTATTGACATAATTGGGTCACTGTCTACAACAGACACGGAAACCTCTATATCCTGGTGATGACATTATATCAGCAAGTGGTGCAAATCTGTTCCTATCCCACAACAAAATACCCCATGTATTGCACAAGCCTACGTCAACCACTAAGCTTCTCTCAACATAACTCTTTATTATGATTTCTAATAGCAAACCAACATACAAATTTAGAATAACATGAATATAAATGAAAAATCTTGTTTTCATCTGGGTTCCGAACCCGTTATATTTTCACCTCCTGGCTTATCGGCCGGCTCTATAACGACTATAGCAATCTGCTTTGAACGAGTGTTCGCTAGCTTACATGAAACGTCTGCTGGACGATGGGTTCGTTAGCTCTCGTTTCCTTTATTGCTTTGACGGATATTTATTTACTGCAATACTTTAAGAGACATCGTATTCGTAAAATTCTTTCATCTGTCATACGGACTTTAGAGTTGGTAGGTTACTAGTGAGGAACTTTAACCTATCAAATTTCAGTTTTGATCATCAGATTTTGTCAGTCCGTTGTTTGAATTATTTCTATTCATTGCTATGAAATACAATTCCATTATATTTTCCGACTGTTTCGTTGGTTTACTTCTTCTTTCATTTCCTTCTTTTTTAGATTTCCCCAAAAGCCCTTTCTCCGTATAAAATATCACCAAACTAGACGCAACTCGCTACTGATTTGCATTTCACCGGGAAAGGTACTCCTGAGATAATTACAATTATCTGGTCGATTTAGACACTACTAATTACTAAGTAAAAGTTTTATTTCGTGTAAGTTTATTTTTTCTGAAAATTTGTTGTGCTTCATGAAAATCATAACGTGTTTTAAGTCGCTCATCGGAGGTTCTAGTAGTACAATTAACAACGTGTACACACGGATTCTTCTCGATATATCAAATCTATATTATAGACTATATGAGAAACCTGTGTTGTATTGTCATTAAAAATAACTTAACTTCACCACATCATCTTTAAAGGCATAGTAAACTGTACTCAAGGTTAAAATAGATAACGTCACTGCTAACAACTTCGTTAACCTTTTCTTATAGCTTAGCTTAAGGTATATTCACTTGTATCTTACTTTTGTTTGTACTCATTTAATATTCCCTTGTCAGCTAAAAATTTAGAGTGCAATGTAAGGTAATCCTGTGTTCTTAGATGGACAATTTGGAGACAAATATATTACCACATCACTTCTCTTTGAAAAAATTGCCTTTATATGAATAAGAAATGTGTATTGTCAACATATCGGTTATGTTCTTCCTACTAAACGTCCGAAGTAAATGAATTCTGATGACCATTGTATGCTAACAGTTACTGATAAGTAACCTGTTAGTGGTGTAAATAAATAAACTAGGAATTTCATATGGCATTTACACTTATATATTGTTAACTAAAAGAAAGCACACTTATATTCATTGACCGTGCTTCAATTTATTTTTGTTTGTTTTTCAATGGAAAACCGTTTCATGTCATATCACTAACTCTAGCTTAAAATAATTTTTCATGTTTACTCTAGCCACATACTTCTTTATAATATTTTAGATAGTTAAGATAAAGTATGAGTTAATGATTTGTGTATAGGAAGGCTGTGGTAACACTCTAAATTTGTTCGTTTAAAACCTTCTAAAAATATATCAAAATCTTTCAATGGATATTCTTTTTATGTTTTTGGATGAGATTATGTTGCTTACTTCATAAACTTTGGTATATTTATTTAAATCAGTTTATACTGTCTCTTATGAAGTATAGTACTAAATAATGTGGCCTGTTCAGATAGGTGATCCTTTTCGTCCAAACATTATCCATGATATCTGATTTCAGACAGTAACGATTTAAGTTGTTTTCGTAAACGTTTCTGCGCTGTTGACGTTAAAACACTAATCAATGAGAGCTTAGTGTCAGAAGGCCTAATATGGATGTTTTATGAGAAGAAACACATCAAACTCAATTCCGCATTAGGAGAAGTGGGAAATACCGCACAAAATACAGTGCTTAAAATACATGTTTAGAAGGTGTTTTCTAAACCTTTCGAGATAACTTCTGTTCGTTTTTGTAACGAAAGTTTTAGGAGTTCAGAAGAGAAAAGTGAACGAGTGAGGTTGAGTTATGAAATTTTTGTTACATTTCGTTAAAAAAACTAGAAATAAAAATAAGCATAATATAAAACACCTTTGACTTCGAGCAGAAATATGCTTACAGGGATCAATAGCATGACACCTACCAGATACTGAAAACGATGTGAATTTGATTAGTTCATCCAAGGCTATCAATAAATAGTTCGGTCCCACGTCGTTTAAATGCACAAAAGCCATAGCAGATATATGGCTTAAACCTAATCTTTGTATTTAAGAATCGGTAGTCAACCCTCAACTGCCTTGATAACAATTTGGCCCGTTTTTTCATCTAATTACAGTCATAATTTAGTGAGTTTACCTTATCCATCTACTTTTCTGTTCTAAACTTACGAAAATTATCTCAATAGATTTTACCTAACCATGTTTGTGTGATGAGTATCATCTAAAACTAAGCTAATTTATCAGATATTTTGCTTTTTTTTCTCTTAGTTTAATAGGTTATCATTTTGTTCATCTAGTAACCAAGGTATGATAAATTTATGTGACTCATTTTGTGAAAGTTCCTAGTATATAAAATGTGTTACAAACTCACTAATGTTAAATAGTGTTTGCAGTTATTTCACTTACAGTCTTTTTTTCTACTCAGTTCCTTTGCTGAACTCAGACCTACTGACCCAAAGATTTTAATATATCAAGAAGTCCGTAGTTGAAGATATATTGATAATCGTAAGGAATAATCACCCTTGGGATAAGTAAATAATAACTAACGTCTAAGTCTAAAAACGTTGGATCTTGTGTTTGATTAAAACCTTTTTGATTAACAATTTTCTTTCCAAAATGGAATGTTACTTTTGGACATCAAACTTTAGTTCTGGAGAAAATCTTGTTTTTAATTACGTTTTAGTGTATTAGCATGAAGTAAGATGGTGAAATATTGCAGATTATTCTCAAGTTTTTCAGTTTACTATTAATCGGGTAAGAAATTCTTTCTGTCAACTATCGTGGGGGTATTATCACTATATTTGTCAGATTTACCTATCAAGAAACTGTTCTGCTCTAATCAATAATGTTCGTTATTATTTAAAAACAATTGGCCGTTGTGAAAAGATCGTCTGTTTTGATTTTAATCTCTTTAAATTTTGACTGGAAACTACTAACCGCATCGAATAATTTTATCATTCATTTGTCAATACTCATTGTTTTATAAGTAATATATTTTAGTGACTCAAAGTTTTGATGCTTTTTCGCTGAATGACAGCGATTTTGTCACATAATTGTTTTTGTACAACGTCATTTTGTTGAAATCAACGCTTTGCGACACTTAGGTTCATTCGTCTTGTTTTTTATTTTCCATACCCTTAGATACATGTTACCTGTTCCCCCATCTCATGAAAAAGGCACACCAAGCTGGTCATCACTTAAACGCAAATCATGGCTTCATCCAAATTCTTTTAACTGTGCACGAGAAAATGTTTATGATAGTCATTTGCTGAAGTAGGATTTTTTTTTAAATAAATGCGTGACATTTAAATTACATTATAATTCAACGACCTAGTCAACTTAATCCTTTTCACTATATTTCACATAGTTCCATATCTACTGGTCTATATTTGAAAACAGCTCCCGATTTAGATTTCAATTAATTATCCTTAATGATGGTCTTCTATTGTTAAAGTAGTCATAGTATTGCACAATTTTTGTTAATAGTTGTAACGTCCTACTAGGATTGGTATTTGTGAGTGCTTTTTTTCTAATTTAATTCTTCAAACTACCTTTGCCACTTTTCTGATATCTCGATACTACTTACAACTTGGTAATTTTCTGTAACCTTGAACGTCATTGCTTAGTTAGCGTTAACGCCGGGTTGTATTTTTCGGAGTTTTTGTGTTTGAAGATTAGTTTTTCCTACGCTTTATCCTCTGTATATGACCAACTGAAAAGGCTAAAAGACTAGTTAGATGCATTTTATTACTGAATTCTGATGTTATTTTATTTGCTTATTGAATTTTATTTTCATTACTTGATTTTCGTTGCGATTGTTCAAACACTTTTCCTGTGTAAATAAGCATGAAACCGAATGAAATTTATTGTACTGGGTGTAGATGGGAATATTAAAATACTGATTCTTATTTAAGAATTTACAAGACATTTCATAATGTCAACCATTTGTTACTTAAAGTTACATATACAGGGCTTTGACTCATAGTGTTTGTATATGGACTAGTAAAGTTATCCGGTTGTCAGGGCCAAAATAGACGACGTGTGGTCTTAAATTGCAACCTCGTGTTCAAAAACTGAATGTTATATGATATTCAATTACTTTACTAAATGATCGTGTTATTGTGTTTTAAATAAATGACCTGATATTTTGTAGCGAACCAAACACAAAGATGGTTGTTTATTACACAGGTTATAACGTTTTTTCATTTTTCTCATTGAAAGGAGGGACAGATTTATGAGGCTTCAAAACCTCGTTAAAGCCGTATCCAAAGTCACATAATGTCAAAAACATTCTCTATACCTAGAGAAAAAATAAAAGTTCGTCATAGGTAATGACTGTTGTTAAACTATAGTTTTGGCTGCCGACTTGTGCCATTTGACGGGGCTCATTTCTAAAGTTTTACGTCTGTGACTACTATACATTCCCTACACCTGACATAGCATCAGTAGTATATATAATGTTCAGTGAATAGATGCATATTTCTCATTATTTTGGTCCAGTTCTTATGTATGTAGTCTTGGAAATATTGAGGCATAATACTTTATTTATTCAATATTCAGTTAATATCCATTCATCTGAATTCATGTAAATACTTATTTTGTAAATATTTTCACTTTTTTTCTTTTAGAACTAAGAACGTAGCTGAACATGAACCTATGTTATTGCCTAATTGTCTTTCTTATTCATGTGTTCCACCAGTTAGGATACTTAAAATGGTAAGATTTGTTGACTCACTTCATCATTAGATGATTACATCAATTGATTTTATTAGAGTAGAATAATATGTTTATTATGTAGATTGACGATAGAGCGCTAAAATTATTATGAAATGTAGATGAATGTGAAACGTTTGTCAGATTTTTACTGAAAAACTACGGACAGTCTAATTCAACCGCTTCAGATGTAAAACTGTTATCACCAATTTCAACTCGTAAATATGGTTCATGTGACTAAGTTTAAGCTTCTTTCTATCATACTAATCATAACCTGACAGGTTTACTCCTGAGATCTTTAAGGATGGTGGTTCAGTATTAGCATTGAGATTAACTGAGGTCTTAGGTAGAATTTGGGAACTGGACGTAATCCCATCTGACTGGTCTCAATCACTGATTGTGCCAGTCTATAAGAAAGGACAAAAGTCCTCTTGTGACAATCACAGAGGAATCAGTTTGACTAATATAGTATCTAAAATATTAGCTTCAATAATAGTTCGACGCCTAACCAAAGCTCGTGAAGAACAGACTAGAGAAAATCAGGCTGGTTTTCGACCTGGACGTGGTTGTATGGACCAGATATTCACACTACGTCAGGTTCTAGAACACAGACACACGTTCAGACGCCCCACAATGGCAGTATTTCTTGACTTTAAGGCGGCATTTGACTCTGTTGATCGTAAGGTTCTATGGCAGTGTTTGTCACTGAAAGGAGTACCAAAGAAGTATATTAACCTTATACAGGCTCTCTACTCGAACACAACTGGTAGAGTGAGAGCTTATGGCGAACTGTCATCAGAATTGATTACCTCAAGTGGTGTTCGTCAGGGCTGCCCACTCTCTCCATTCTTGTTCAACTTTGTCGTCGACGTTTTTTTAGAGATAACACTTTCCTCGTCTAGATTTCCAGGGGTTGAACTTCTACCGGGAGGTTCACTTGTTGACCTAGAATATGCCGATGACATAGTTTTATTTGGCGAAGACACTGAAAAAATGCAGAGTCTTCTGACCACTCTAAGCAACAATGCAAGCATGTTTGGGATGCGATCCTCCCCCTCGAAATGCAAAATGTTGCTTCAGGATTGGGTTACATCGACACCCGAACTAGTGATAGGGAGTGAAGTAATTGAGCGTGTCGATCGCTTCACTTATCTTGGAAGTCTCATCAGCCCTTGTGGTCTGTTGTGTGACGAAATCTCAGCACGGATACAGAAGGCTCGACTAGCTTTTGCCAACTTGCGTCATTTATGGCGTAGGCGAGATATCCGTCTATCAACCAAAGGACGTGTTTACTGCGCAGCAGTTCGTTCCGTCCTACTTTATGTCAGTGAAACATGGCCGGTAAGAGTAGAGGATATTCGTAGGTTACTAGTATTTGATCATAGGTGTCCTTGAATTATTGCTCGTGTATCCTGGGACCATCGAATAAGTGACACAGTTGTTAGGAAACGGGTACTAGGTAAGGATGGCAAATCGATTGATGAAGTAGTGAAACTTCATCAGTTGAGATGGCTTGGACACGTGTTACGTATGCCCAACCACCGACTGCCTCGACGTGCGATGTTCAGTGGTATAGGAGTAGGTTGGAAGAAAGCTAGGGGCGGCCAGACCAAAACATGGCACAAGTCCATAAAGCCACTGACAAGTGGACTGAGTCATGTCGGTAGGTGTAGACTACCTGGTTGGGGACGGCGAGATGATAGCAACCGATGGTTAGAGATCCTGAACGACATGCCTCAAAATCGTTCGCAATGGTGCAGGTGCACCCACTCTTTGTGTTCTCCCAAATTTTGATCTCCTTATTCCTCCTTGTTTCTTTTTTTTTCTCTTCCCAAATTTGTTTCACTGGATTATACTCTTTGAATAACATCTCCAAACACTAATCTTCCCGATTACTGCTTATAGTCTTACTACCTCTAGCACTACGGTATTTGAATCGACCACTGCATCTCTGTGCTAATGTGGTGTGGGAACTCGAACGCATGTATGTACGTAAGAAGTTCTACGTTGTTACTGACTGACTGACTGACTAATCATTATACTGTTAATCTTTTTACAGGAAACCCAAAATACTACTGAATATCAATTTCCTCTTATTTTGTATAATAATGAAATGTTAAAAGAAAATTTCATATCACCTGTAAACAAAGTTTTATATTTGCCTAAAAATATTAAAACAAGAAAGAAATTGACATCAATGAATAATATTCAATTATTAAAACTCCCGGCAAATTGTTCAATATTACCATGGGAATATAATAGTAATAATAATAATAATAGTAATATAAATAAACTACTATCTTTAGATGAAATTAAATCCCTGACCAAATTCAATTCAAAAACAATTAAAAAATTTAGACAACAAAATGCTGTGAAATTAAATTTACTAAAAAGTCATTTCTTATCAAATGAATGTGATTTACCAAATAAGTCCAATGTATATCAATTATTAAAATTACATCAAAATAATTTTACTACTAAATTTCCATTAAGTAGTAATGTTAAACTATTACAATTACCACACTTATATCATTCAATTGGCAGACAATTTCATGATCATAAAACTGATAATAAAATTTCTAACAATGGCAATGTAACTTCAAGAGAGGCATATCATTCAAATTTTAAAAAACTATAGACTGTAAATCAACATCAAATGAATATACCTTACAAATATTAACATATCCAATGAATAATGAAGAACAGCCTACATTAAATGATATTTCATGGGTATTGGAAACAACTAAAGAAAATATTAAACCTATTTCTGTGGAAAATTATAACGTACCACAATGCAAATTTGATTCTCCTGTTCAAAATGATAAAAAATCTTATAATGATTGTGGAGTTCAATTTAATTTTGTTGATTATGGTGAACCTAATACTCAAAGTAAGTTGAATCTAGATGCAGTTAATTAGTTTGTTGTTATATTTTTAGAGTATCATTCGATAAATAAATACAAGTGTTGATGAAACAGTCAATGAGAGACTGTCGAATTATTGAATTCCTGAACCGATTTAAGGTACATCATCATTTAAAATCTGGATTCATTGGATCGTCATTTCTTTCTAATGCGGGACTCTTCAACAGTACTCATCTACAGTCATGCACGCTGAAGGACCAAGACCTTCGGTTTGGCTCACGAACGCATAAATTTTAGAATGCTTGTTCAGTATCCGATAGTGTTATTACCTAACTTTAATCAGTTCACGAAATTTTAGGTGGGCAACTGCTTCACACCCGATACATTCTCACTTACTTTTTTAAATGGTAATAAAATGAATATGGACAAACATTTTGGACTGTATAAAAGAGGTGATACCGAAGACCTCAAGCTGTAAAATAAATGATAAATGGCTAAATATATCCAATATACGAAGAAAACACTATCACTAATAAGTGGTTCTCTTAGAACTACTGTCGTATATTCTCTGCTGTAGTTAATACATTGCCTTACATCATCAAACTTCAGACATTATAATTGTCAGCTATGTTAGAGTGATTTACATTGAGCATAAAATTTACTCTGCAACCCAACAGTATTCGGCATTTCAGCGAATGATGACACAATGACATTTGAAGCAAGTGGCACTGGGTTTAAGTGTTAATCTAGACATCAACATAAAAGCACAGTTACTCCCGATTTACGAATTTGAAATAGAATTAAATACACTTTCTGAATTCCACTAGCAGCTACTATCTGAGTTATAATTTATCTAAGGTGTTTTGGTCGCAAACTAGTACTACAGTTTAGTTAACTAGTCAAACGAGACTTTTTATTTAAATCTTCATTCTTATCGTAATAAGAAAGCGGGAAGTTCACTACTTTATCAGTTAAAATATTACCAAAAGCAATAAATGTAGTTCTTTCACAAAAATTTTGATTGGATTAAAATCATTTTGACTGAAAATTCAGTTATTTTTGGATCTAGGTCTTTTACTAAACTGTTAGACTATATTAGTCTCTTAATTTTTCCACACTTCTCATGGGTAATATTCAATCTTCTGAATTTCAGTTATTTATTTTTACCTCGAATTTTCATTTTGCAGTTGGTTGCAATACATTTACTAACTGTAAGAATGCAGCATGCCTTCAGATTGTGTTGAACAACTGTTGTTCAATGATATTGCAGTAAGTTTTTGTGTTATCAGTTATTTATGTTCTTTCTTTGTTACGTTATACTGTTGTTTGTACTAACTAATAAGTATGATAATAATGTATAACGTACACAAACCCATGACTTTCATGAGAACTATCTATATATTCTTATATTTTATAATTTACCAATGTGCTATGAATTAGGGATGTGGCAGTGGACATTTTGAATGTAGTTATTAACTTCGAAATATACTAAAAACTGCGATACTGTTTTTGCTGAATATATATATATATATATATATATATATATATATATATATATATATATCGCCCATTACGACGAGAAAAAAAACAACAGAAGATAACCTCTTAATTTAACTGTGATTCCTGTTCGGTATTACTACCGTTTCAAATTCGTTCTAGTAACTTCTGAGTAAAAAGGTGATCTATTTCAAAATGATATTTATTCAGTACAATATTCTTTTCGTTCAGTATGATGTGTAGCCAGCATTTTGCAGTAATTTTGTATTACATCTATTTTGCATTTCCTGTATTTCCGTTATGTGTGCTACTAGCTGACTAATCATCAATTGTAAGATTGATATACAAATGAGTGTATCTGGTTATGATGGTTGTTGTTTTTTGTCTGGTGAATAGAATTTACTGCCGGTGTCAGTTTTTATCTTCTCTTTTGATAAGCATTGTATAAGAGAACTAAATCTGTCGTCGTTTATGGCATACAACCAAAAAAACTACGACTAATTTACTGATTACACAATCAATAATCGATCAAAGATGAAAATTAAGGTCATAAAGTTTCCAGTAATTCCTTGTCTCTGCTCACCGTAAAATGGTTTATTTCTGTATTTAGTCTCCTTATAAAGCCAGTGAAAAAAGGCGTAGAAATGTATTACTTTGAAATTTTACAGTTATCTTACAATACATTATGCTATGTAAATTAATATTTCTGGAAAACTGAAAAGAAAATTAGAAACAGTGAAGGAATTTTAACTATTATACTAAGAAATGACTTATATTTTAAAACTGTCAAATCTGTTTTCCAATCAATTACATTAACACTCAAGCACAGTACTATTCTTGGATCAACAATCTAGTTGATCCTGCGCCCCAACTGCCCTGGTACGGCCGAGGATGGGGAGAGTTCGCCCTCCCTATCGAAATGCTCTCACATGACCACAAGTATACAGCTAATGTCAGTCAAGTCCTACTCACTATCTTCTCGCAGCAGAGGTGTTGTTTACGAAATTGAGAGGACAAAAAGCGAATGTCAGGCGCTTTAATCGGAGTGGTGGACACGGAGGGTGACTTGTTTGGTGCATATGTATTCGGTACCCGTTTGTATCAATGTTTATGTGTCCAAATAATAATAATAATAATAATAGTTGATCTGGATACATATATGTTAAATGGACCTCATTATGAAGAACAAAACAATGTGAATTCGAATATTTTCTTCATCTTAATTTTCACGATTTCCTTTTCTCAATTAAAAAGTTTTTATGATGAAAAGCAATCCAAAGTATTTCATTTCACACATCAATAATTTATCCTAATATTTGTTATGTTCAAAATTTTTTGAATTATTTCTTACTCTTATTAACTTAATCATAATACCTTTATTCTCAATTAGCATGTTACTAAACAATTTCTAAGTATACATACATCTGACCTGATAGATTGGAATAATGAAGATAAATGTATTGTACCATATGTTCCATTACACATTAATACATCCAATATTTATGAACAAAATCATTGTAATCTTGTTGCACATGTGAATGCACCAGATAACAAACAACCAATAGAAATGAATAATACAATTAGTCCATCAAATATTGTACATAATCAAACATCGTTAATAACAAGATCACAAATAAAAACTGTAACAACAACAACAACAACGATAACGAACAATTCATCTGAGAATAAACCAGAATTATTAATCAGTGATTTAGTTACTGCAAAAATGTTACAAAATTCCAATATAACAAATCAAGATAATAGACAATCAATAAATAATGAAATCACATCATTATTATCATGTAATAAACAAGCATCAAATTATTTTCCTTTAGATGTAGTAAAAGCATTAAGTGAAATTGATAATCGTTTAAATGTGATTGATCAAGTTTCAGTTCAACTAGAACAAGATCATAAACGTAATCAAGAAGTAAGTATTTAATTTATTTCTAATGGGTTTAAAAATGTGTATTGTAGTTTGTATTAGTATTTTTGAGTTTTGTCACAGTCGACTGAGTGTCTTTTGATTAATGTCTTTCACATACCCTCTTCTATGAATTTATAAATGGATGTTATCTGAGGTAGTAAATGTCTACTGTTACTAATCTTAGTCATCTGTCATATGTACGAACGATAGTTCCAACAGTTTTCGCCTCATATATCTCAGTAACCGGTTTTCTCTACTCGCATCTTTTGTCTATTTTAAAAGTAAATAATTAGATTTTGACAATTTAAAAGTCTGACCACATGGGTTTCTGGTGCAAAAATCTTAGACGATTAGCAAACTTAAAATATATTAATTCTTCAGAAACGGTAGTTAAATTTAGGAGGTTGGAATAAAGCGACTCCATGTATCAACTACTTACTACAGCGTCACACTAACGTTTTTGTGTTGATAGCTCTTGAAATTTATTTCAATTACCTAAATGTATGTAACAAGATAAAATGGCGTAATTTCCACTACTGTAATCATACTTGTTATTTTTAACTTTTTCTTTCCATTGTAACATTCTAACGTACCAACTGATCTTCGGTAAACATGGCACAAAAATATATCAGTTGAAGTTACCGCCTGTGATCGGTGTTTTATTATCTTAGCATGTTATCTATTAAAAATCATGTTAACATGAAGCGTACTCCCGATCGTTTCCAGGATGGTTTGCCGTTTTTAATCAGTTCTTACTCAACCTTTCTTCACTTTTGTTGAAAATTTTAAGATTTTTTTAATGTTAATTAATTACTAATGATTTGTAACTTATGATTCTATTGTGCCACTGATGAAAATCGAAATAGTGGTAAATATACTAAAACTCCTTAAAAATATCTAGGCTAAAAAATAATTTTCTAAACTAATTATTGCACTAGCAGTGTTGATCAACGTGCTTAGTGGAGGTCAAAATAAGTTAATTACATCATGGAATCTGCCGAATGTAATAGACATATGATATTCAGTCTACGATTCATCGTTCAACATCATTTTTTAAAAATATCCCAGTTAAATATACTAAGGAGCATATTCTTTAATCTATTTTACATTTCAGAAGCTTTGGATATCTATAATTTGAAATTTGAGTTAGCTGTTTGAACAGAAATAATTTGTTAAACCCCTATCCTAGTTTATAGTGTTATCTTATTTCGCTGATTGAAATCATGAGTCAATTGAAGCTAGACCACCATGGAAAACCTGGAAGCACTGGACGGCCGTTTTGTCCTAGTATGGGACTCCTCAGCAGTGCGCATCCACGATCCCGCACCCCACGAGATTGTTCGTTTTTCCCCTATTCTATTTCTAATTTACTTTCATTACTATTTTTATTAATGAGAAAGATTTCTTGATTACCATGTATTTATTTTCACCTCAACTTTATGATATTTACATTTAAACTTTTCATCCGATTGATTATATGTTTCTCATGTTTAGTTAATTTCCTCCTTTAATAACGATTTGTTTGTTTAAAGTGATGTAATTGGATTTCACATAAAAAACTAATCAAATTCTCAGTATAGGAGTTGTGGAGATTATTGAGTTTTTGATTGAGATCATGAACCCATTGATGTTAGACCGAGATCGAAGGCCCTGGGTTCGAATCCCGCCGGCGGGATCGTGGATGGGCACTACTGAGGAGTCCTACAATATGATAAAACAGCCGTCCAGTGCTCCCAGTGGTCTAACATCAATCGGTCCATGATCATAACCAAATTCTAATAGATTTATAATGAAGATAAGTATATTGTACCATGTGTTCCACTACACATTAGTACATCCAATATTTATGAACAAAATCATTGTAATCTTATTACAAATGTGAATTCACCAGATAACAAACGACCAATAGAAATGAATAATACAATTATTCATTGACCTATAATTTATCATAAATATATGTACCGTCTTGCAACTTTGAAATTGAACTCGAATAGGATTCCTTCGCTGAATAAAATTTTTTTATAATTTATTGAGTATATTCAAATCAATTGTTTATTGACTGTTAAATATAAGAAGTAATATCATGACCAAAAACTGAAATATCCACAATATGATCTCCATTAATTGTTACACTCTACCTTGATTTCCTATCAATCTAAACATTACTGACCTCCAAATGGCTGTTTCATCAATCACTGCTGATTAAGAACAGGATAGTAACTAATTTTCCAAGATCTTTTGTGTTACTGTCTCAAGATATTTAAGTGTATATTTCACTTGACCAACAATTATTGATTCTGAAGTACAAAAATGTCTAGTGTAGGAGTTTTGAAAAAGGTTGAAGGTAACAATGCAAAAATATATGACCACCTGGTCGACTCATTAACTAATAAGATGAGATGTGTACAAACTGCCTGATTAAATTCCTTGCAGTAATCACCGTCAACTGTTAGAGACCTTAGCTTATATGTCTCAAAATGAGTCATTGTGTCAACTTTGAGTAGTTTTCTAGTTATTGACAGCCTGTAATGGAGTATTCATTCAATTTCTACAGTTTCTCCACAAAAATACTTATCATTAAATTATCATAACTGAATATTAAAATGAAAACCAATTTTTTATTTTTTCATTACAGCTTCTTGAAACAATTATTCAAATGAATAAAGAACAAAGCCAAGTTAATCCATCTATTCAGTTAGATGAACCAAACAAAAGTGAAGCAACTTCTCAACAACAAAAACTACAGTTACCTGATGAATTAAATTTCAAAGGCGACCAGTTACATAATCAGTAAGTTTTTGTCGTATTTTGAATTCTTACCGATTCAATTGATTTAACTACTTAGTAAAGATTTATTCTTGATAAATGAATAGGTTTAAACATTTATACTGAAGCTAGAAATAAATATTGAAAATGTTATTATTTATGCTCTACTCTATATTTGAACTGGATAGACATCAGATGTTTAATCGTAATCTTGTAATCTAATCATAAATAACACTGAATCTATCTAAAGTTAGACCAGGTAAACTTAATTCAGATGATTAACATTTTTCAGTTTAAATAATCTACATTATTATGTTGTGCTTATTTAAAAACTATTAGCATGTATTTTTGATTCAAAATATGTTTATTTATTGAGATCGTGAACCGATCACTATTGAAAAATGGTCACACCATATCGTGTATTGATTGAAGTTGGTCATTACCACCGTTGGATGCCGGCTCAGTGGTTCAGAGATTAGGCGTCCGTGTGTGAGGCCGGAGGTCCTAGGTTAGAGTTCCGCGTACAGAATCGTGTTTGAGCATTGCTGAAGATTCGCACACCAGGATGAGACCTCCATCCAGTGCTTCCGAGTTTTCAATGATGGTCTTACATTAATCTCAATAAAAGCTCAACAATCTCTACAACCGTATGTTAATACTTAGTTTATTTCTCAAATTATAGTTGTTTGATTGTGTAAATCAAATTTAGATCTTGATATAGAGGTTTTCAACTTTTATTTTGTATTTATTTTTCTATTTAAATATAATTTACATTTTTTTAAAAGACTAATTGAAAGTAAAATTAATCCTAATGTCCAAAATCAACGACATGATTGTACAATTGTAAAACAACAAATTAAATCGTCTAAACCAAATGAAAGATCACATTCAAACACTGGTCATAATACTGATGAACGTGAAAAACTTAGAAAAGAAAGACGAGAAGTCTCAATGACACGTCGTTGTGATGAAGCTAAACAGTTTGTCAATCAAGTGAGTTTAAAATGTTCGTTAATGAATATCACTATCTGTTTAAATAATATTGTATTCCTAAGTATTGTGTGACACTGACGTTATTCTGAATATTTGTAAAGCATGTATTTTGGAATTGATTTGCTGTTACTAGCAATGAAACTCAGGACGTGTGTTTATTTCTCTTTAAGACTCATCAACTTGATACTCCTGAACTCCAGTGTTGGTGATCATATTATGATTCAGACATCGTACCTCAAACACTAGCTTGTTATTCATCGAACCACTGATGTTTAGATTATCAACTGCAAAGGTTTAAATCATTCTGTTTCTGATATACAGGAATGAATCTTGGTGACACATTCGCGTCCTGACGGCTGTTCTAAGGCAAACGAAAGATGAAATTGTTCAAAATGAGATAAAACTAAACTGAGAATTTCAGTGCGTAAAACTAATCAAAGGTACTGTATTTGACTTCTATACAAGCTTTCCTGTCACAAACTTTATGCCTATAGTTGCTCCATTTCAGAAAGAGCGATATTTTTTATGAGTGAATTCAATCATTGTAAAATTATTTATTCGAAGTCTACTACTTGAAACATTTTATTGCAGTTTAGAATTCAGCAGAATAATCGTGGCACATTTATAAGCTCGTCTATTAGTAGTCTCCTTTAATGAGATTTATATGCCTGTTTTAAATAATTTTTTAGTGATTTTATTATAGAGATTCCATGGTACTATAGTATAATAGGGTATTAAAGGTACAGATATAATCAACTTTACAGTCAGGATAACATTGGATGGATTTCGATCGATTGTTACCATAGTGAAATTGATTTCGGAATAAGTCAACTTTTAACCATCATTTCAATGATTACTTTGAAAGAAAGTCATTTAAACGTTAAACTGATCCTCATAACCAAAATGAAAGTTGTCCTAAACTAGTCGCTAAGTAATAGTTATTATTTGAGTAATGCAAGTCTTATAATTAACATTGTGTAATATTTACTTGACGATATCAAGGAATAGCTTTTGTTTGGACGTCAAATTTCATCATATGGTTTGATACCAACCATTCTATTATTTTGTAAACAGAATATTTCAATAAATTCACTATTTTTAAAGGTAATAATTGTTTACTTGTAAGTTACTTAAAGTAGGCTCTGAGGAGATTGATCAGAGTGATAGTGAAGGCTTTACAATACAACATCATCAAGGAATATTTACATTACTTTAGAAATACGTCTGTCCAGTAGTTTTTGCTCTTTCTCAACAACAACTGTTTAGAATAAATTGTTTACTGGTGTTTACTATCACTTAAATTTCATTTAGTTGACATTATGTTTAGTTTTTTTACGAAGAAAAATCTCCATACTTTTATTACGATAACTGCTCATCACAAGTCATATTCCGAGTTAATTTTATCATTTAGGAAGCTAGAAATAAACTTAATAATAATGAAAATGGCAGCAGATTTATGTAAATAGGATATACCACAATATTGTATAATAAACATTAATTAGACCTATTTTGTATGCTCACAGATAGATTCAAAGCTACTATTACGGATGTTTTAATTGCTCATTTATTTCACCAGGCTTGAATCAATTATATATATACATTACATAGACAAGTGACTACTATTAAAATTAACAAGATAAATAAAAATGTAAAACTCTGAAAGTTATTCTCCACAGATTTAGTATATATATACTAAAGGATTGATCAATTGGATCCATATATTATGTCGGTTTTAAGCCTTTATTTGACTCGTCAAATATCGCTATATCATCCGTTCATAAATTACTGTTGTTTGCTTGCTAGCGTGTTATTCAGATTCATATTGTAAATATCCTCGTTATATAAATATAGGGATTCATCATTTACAGTGCATTGTGGTGTCATTTTATCTACACAATCATGTGAGTATGCATAATGCAAAGTACTTCTTTAAGTTTCCCCGTTATTATGATTGATAGTTTGGAAACAGGAGAACTTCGTGTAAGCAGTCGGATGGGATTATCATTATTGGAGTGAGCAGGAATTATAACAGTTACAATAGGAGATAAACTTAATGTCAAAACTAAGTTTACACATCTTACTATTCAATGTTAGGTTCCACGTATTTAATTATATATACCTTATCATCTAGTGATATACTTATTTAATCTGAATGCAGTCAATCTTCGAATTTTGTTGTTGTCTCATTTATAGATTTTGTCAGATAGTATTTTACCAAAACAGTCATCAACATTGTTGGATCAACCAATCATTCCAAAACATTCAAATACTCCAGTAAGTGTAAAATATCGCAGGGTTAATACACTTAATATTTCGTGTAAACAATGAGTCTAATTTTAATTCTAATAACCTGTTGAATAAATTATACAAGTATATATATATATATATATATATATATATATATATATATATATATATATATATATATATATATATATGAATTAGATAACGTTTTGGCGTATTTGGGTTTTCGATAACAGTGGAATCGAAGATGTGCATTCTGAAACTCGTCAGCTGGATTCCCCACTCTCACCATCGCTACAAGCATCAATACGCAATACACTAAATTACTGAGTACAACCTACGTTATACTTTCAAAAGTGGACTTTCACATTTATTAAGACCTCGATAAATAAAGAATATGTCACTTTTAAAGTCGAAACCTTATTCAAAGAGGAAGGAAGCTTACTTTAAGTTGATAAGTAATAATCAATATAGTAAAATCATGTAAACTAAATTTATAAAAAAAGGAATATCAGGGTAGTTATGATAAACATGATGGGGAAACCAAATAAATTGATAGAAAACTATACACTTAAGAAACGGACAGTGGAAAGTCTTCTAAACTTCATTATACTAGGCAAAACTCATTGTAGCGATACGTCAATCAATAAAAACATCCATATGATTTACCCAACTAGCTTTTCTATATTGAAAATGTTGTCTCACTAGTATGGGTATTATCTTCCTTCTTCAAGTTCGCATCTATTTTGTAGATAAAAAGAGGTCGAAGTCAAACTCACAGTCGTGGTACATTGAGAGATCTAAATCAACGTAATTTTAAAAACAATTACATTATTCCGTCCAGTCCAAAGCCGCCTACCCCTGTTCGCTTTCATTATAACGGAAGAAGTGGAGTTACAGCTAGAGGAGCACGTAACATCTCAGGAACCAGAAGACAACAAACAAAAAGTAGGTCCACTGATTATGCTCACTTTTTAAAATTATTCATCATTGTTACTAATTATACGCACATCGGTACACTGGTGAGATTACATTTTAAGTAGTATTCACTAAATTTTGGTTATAACCTCTGTTCTACACACGTTTCCTTATTATTTTGCCAGTTATAAAGCACTGCTCATAGAAATAAGAATAAACAGCAAATATATGAAAATCTGATCACTACGAATGATGAGGGGAGACAACCTGATGTAATTATGAGGACAGTTTACATCACACATTAATATTTATTGCACAATTATCGTCAAAAGTCACCCTCCGTTGTATAACTGAATCCTTTGAGTAAAATGATTAATTGTAAACCTTCCACTCAATTTTGAACAGCACAAGCACTTACTGTATGTGAAAATGAGCTTCACAACCATTCCACAAGCGCTAAATAAATCCAGTCGAAACATATGTGAGGGACATCTTAGAAATCACTTCAAGAATTTCGAAACCTTTTGTAAACAATGTCTTTCATAGGGTGCCACAATTGTTTCATTCCATTTTATTTTAAACCATAAAATGCAACGACGGAGACAAATACGTCGTCTGCAAATTAAATTACATCAACTGCGAAAAACAACAGTTGACAGGGTAGACGCATCTTGCATGAACTCAACCCGATCTCGTAACCCATACGAAAAGGCTCAATCGACTACATGGCCAGACTTCAGCCGAACAAGACAGTAAACTTGAGTACAGAGATAAATGGAGACAACAAAGCTTACAAAGACAGGCAATCGTAAATAAGGTCACCGACGAACTACTTTGATGTTTTTGGAAGTAAGCTGACGTTGTTGACCATAACAACAAACTAGCAGGTCTCAGTACTCAAATGTGAGTTCTCACAAGGTCCCTGGGATTTAAGAGTTTTGGTTCATGTAAGTTGCTGACTGATCTATTTTGTCTTACCATTAATCAAATGAGCCATTATGTAGAGATCGGGTCAGCAAAACTGCAGGTTTCCTCCAGCCTGAATAAACGCTACAATATCAAGCATAATTTACCACATATTTATAATATATACAATTCAATAAGTCCAAACTCATACCCCAACTAGTAGACCGAAATCCGGTTTGATGGATAAAAACATATTGTCAACACTGATTACTAATTATTGATTTCACTAAAAAATAGTGAGTTTCATTAAATACTGGATTCTGAGTTTATTTTTTTTATTTAGTAAAAAAATGTTTTTCCACCGCTATCCTAAATTGTATTAGACTCAAACAAATAGAATAGAGTACTGTTTGAAAGTATTAAAATGTCAATGTTAACCTCTAAATGCCTATCAATAACCATAAACAGATGAAAAAGGTGGTTACAACCCTGGTAACATGATAAACAATGGATTAAACAAAAATGCCCAACTGCCTATTTTCGATAAGCTAGTTTAAACGTCAGTGGAATCAATTAGTAATGTCACTGTTATGTCCTTAGACACACAAAACTATTTCCACATTGTTTTCTGTTTAAAAATTTAGTTAATATACTTTACTGCGCAAAACAACTATTTGTAATTCAAATGTATTGGCCTACTGTCAAACCACTTTATTCTTGATTTCTGTCTACTTTTTGTAAGATTATAGTACTCTCACTATGGTCTAATTGATGGATTTTAGTAAACTAAAATCTTCCTGTGGTTTATCCGATGTCAGTGCTCCAACCACTGAGTAATATATTGATTGCCACCTGCTTACTAGTATTTAGTCGCTTATAACAGAAATCAAGCACGAACTTTCCCCACTAGATAACCACAATATGGAACTATATTGTTTGTACAGCTTTATCTTTCTTTCTCCTTTTAATCGCAGTTGTACAAAAGTCATCTGTAGTAAATCATCCACATCCTGATACACCAAAACAACTAACTTATGAAGATGACTTACAGACAACAATTTTAAGCGACTGGTCCCTAGAAAGTAATGTGAAAAGAATACTCTATGGAGATGAAAAAGATAGATTTTGCAGTTCATCTAGGCCACAAAGTGCCAGTGGGATTTCTAATTTTGATCAGGTTAGTTTAAATAAACTATAAAGCATATCGTTACAGTCAACTAAATTTTCAGTTTCTATTTCGTAGAGTACTAACTAGGTTTTTAGTTGGAACATATAAGCTAAAGCAGATGGTATAGTACATTGGTATAGGTATGAAGCTACTTTTAAGGATGAAAGTAGATCACACATACGTGCAAATTGAGCACAATGCTGTTACATTATCATTGGAACGGTAATAAATGTGGTGATATTAGAAGTGTTGTAATAATCATCACCGTGGAACGTGAAAAGTAAAGTTCTGACACAATAGGTTCGTAATAACGTCCTACTAGCTAGCTTTTTGCAATAAAGTAGCAATACCAATGAATTAAGTTAGACTATTATTACATGTGAAGCCATGTTTTCTGATTAACGTCTGAACAAACTCGAAAACTCATCTTTGGAGTTATTTTCAGTCTTTTTAACCAAATGATGTAACTGTTGCTAGAGTGCTCTTCGTAAGTACCGAAAAAGGATTTGCGCGCAGTAAAACCCTTTGACTTATCAGTCTTTCGATGACCTTGGTATTTCAGTTGGATAAAACCTCTCAAATGACTAGTTAATAGGGTAAATGACGAGGTCAGGAGGGAAAGCATATATGAATATCTAAATGATACGATACAAGTGTTTACATTTAAGAAAAAATTTAAGTATTGATTTAACTATGAGCAATAGCTTTGTACCCCGCAATATGATCGGTATTATCATATTTTATACGGCTGGAAAGTCTTATTTTTGCAACAAATAAAAATCCTCACAGTTTAATGTGATGTTTATTATTGAATTGCGCAATTCACTTCATATAGCACTCTTGTTTTACATAGAAATGACAAAACAAGGCGGACGTTTATTTCCATTAAAAACCAAAGCTTTATCGTAGAAACCACTTGCACACTGTACTTGTCCATAATTCCACAAATAGATAGAGGAATGCGCTTTCAAACTATTAGCAAACTGAAACTATACTACCACAATCAAAGATAAATCCAGTATTTTGATTTTACTATTTTATTAGGAGTCACAAATTCCACAAAGTCCACATTCCATGCCAGAAACCGATCTCCTTACTGAAATAGGTGGCGTTCCAAGCACCAGCTTTATTGATTGGGATGAGATCGATGAACTGATTGGTGATTTATAACAATATATTGGACTGAACTTTTTAAACTTACTATGTAATTTTGTAATTTTTTCTTCTGTAAAAAATAATGCTCATAACAAAAAATCTTATCATTGGTAGATTTCAAAGGCCACAAGTTTAACACATTTAGATATGAAGACAATATTTACTTTTGTAATAGCTAAGAACATGAGACTTAGGTTGGCAATTTTCAGTAGCATTAAATGTAAAAGTTTTAAGTTACTATGATCATATTCTATGAATTCGAAGTAGATTTTTCAGATAGGAATAAGAAAAACCAGGAAATTCTATATGTATTTAACGCCACTTTAACATGTAAGAATTTGTTTAGTCAATACACTTAAAGCAATCATAGTCACACGGATTCCAAAACAGCCAAGCTGATAAACGCTAGTCATAATAAGGCCTTTGATATTAGCTTCTGTGAGATATAGAAGCATAAATATCAAAATCTCGTTGAAAACCGATCTGATACTACAAGAATACAGTATTTATTAGACAAGATTTAAAGATAAATGTTCCAAAATCGTACTCCGACCTCCGAAATACGAGGCATACAAGGTAAACTTCTTGTTAGATCATACACTTGATTCCTTGATTTTAAGTGTGAAGAAAATGAACGACTAATGTATGAATATTATTCTCGTTAGGTCTTCACTGAATTGCCGAGTATTAACCTTAATATATCAACTAAAGTTTGATAGGGTCAGTCATCATTAGGTCTCAAAATTACAAGCTCGAACAAACCCACATAGCTTAAGCGAATAAGCAATGAATTCAGTTGGACTCGATGAAACAATTAAAACTGCAGAAATACCAGACGTGGAGACCATCAAATCGAATGAACTACGGAGCATATCCATACTAACGACTTCTACCAGCTACATGATGATCTTGAAAGTTTTATGAGACATTGATTGATGCTACCTCTAGACACTCTAAGCCTTCCCCGTCGTCCGTTTTGTTAAAACACACTGGAAAAACGCATATTTATGGTATTAAAAAGGACATAACTTTATCGATAGAAACCACCGTACTAAAGTATCTATTCTTTTCACAAGATTCACACAAAATATGCAGTCCGTTCCTTGTATACTAAATTACTTTATGCAAACAAGATTTGAATATAACGATTCCCTGTTCCATTTGTTAGGCACGCGGATGCACTTCTCTTCCTTTCTATCGTATTTTAAGGGTTTTAGCAGCCCAAGTCACGCTTATGGACCTTACGTCGGCTTAGTAATCAACTGGAGAGAAATCTTAACATATATTTTCGAAAAGGATATCAAACATTTCAGAAGTTGCTACGATCTTTGATTGTTAGTTGGTCAGTAAATTAAGTTTACTTATTTTGTTGTCTCAGGAACAATCATGACGCGAACAATGTTTGATTACAGTAGCAAAAAAAACGATTGTCTAACCTAAGTAGATTATCAAGCTATATAATGTACATGAACGTCTTAAACAAGATACAAATAGTTTGTAAGCTTATATACCAACAATAAAATGAGAAACCTGCGTTTTCTATTTTAAGACACTAGAGTTGTTCCTATGGTCTACAGATATGAAAGAAAAGTTAACAAGGTCTAGAATTCGCAACGCGCTTAGCTTTCGAACATACAGTATTAACAGAGATTTTCTTACCTTAGCATAAAATTCAAGTGCTTAAAATTTCGGCTATATACTACCTGAACTACAGTGAGGAGATAGCTATAAATATCTACCACCTTCGCAGATCAGTTGATGGCACTAACTGTTGTCAAACCACAAGATCAGCTCCAACTCAAAGCCTCATGTACAACATAACCTTAAATGGCTAATGTAATCATCCTTCTGGCCAAAAAGTAGTGACGAACATAATTAAGTATTTCCACTATATATTTTTCCAATGTCCCTGGTAAACGGTTTTCACGATACTTTTATTTTCATTCAGTACTGACAATTTTTATTTAAGTTTTAGCATGCTACTTTCCCAAAAACTTCGAAATCAGGCTTTTCAAGATACATTTTGTGAAAAAAACTTGGAGTATTTATATTTATTCAACTATCATATTTGCACAGTACACAACAATAGTGTCAATCAACTGCCTGAACGTCAGAAGATTTAATTAACTTCGAAATATCAGCTTCAAGTTTTTCAAGATCACTGTCCATCTCAGCAAGTAAATATCATCTAAGAAAAATAGTCACAGAAGTTGCAGAAAAATGTGTGTAAAAACAGATACCAATCAGTAAATTGGGTTCTAATCGAATTCTATAGATCCCCAACTGTACAGATAATGGTGAATTTCAAAGAATATTCAAATTTGAGAGAGTGTCCGTAGGTAACTTTATACTTGCCTGATATAACTGTCAACGTTAACACGCAAACAAAAGACATTTTTGGTGTTTGTCTATTCCGAAAGCTGTTTATTGAAGTGCCCTCTTTACTTCTCTAATTTCAGCCTCGTTGGGATATATGACGAAAAACTAATTAACAACGACGATCGTTATAAAGTCGTATTTGACGAATATTTCCAAGCACAAATCATATTGCTACTTGTGCTTAATATAGATGAACAACATGTTGGTCTTGATGAAAAAAAGCCTATTATAATTTAAAAACACTGAGCGATGAGTTTGGAGTAGGTGAATGGAACCTGAATACGGACAAAAATATTTTTATAGATCTTAATAATATTTGCGTATGAAATTGTATAAAAAGTTTAGCTATTAACTAATTGCATCTCGTATTTTCAATTTTCAAGTGTATGATAGAAATAACAACTTAATTAAGTTGCTTGAATTGACTGTCTTTAACAGATGTCAATAATTTGAAAAATGCAACGAAAGCTTTTCAAAAAGGATATTACTGGATGAAAATCTTTCCTCCATTGAGACCAAAGACATCTCAATGTCTCGAATAGAAGCTTCCAACTACAAATTCATCTTACTTTAAAGCAAAACAAACCTGATTATTTATAGATTCCAAGTCCTTTCGGCATGCCTCGGTCGATTTTCTTGATGGATCTCCCCCATCTTGAACTGCCGCCATTTCTCGAAAACCGAAACTGTGTCTACAACAAACTAGAACTTGAATGATTCAAACATCTCTAGCATTTACTAAGGACAAAAACCGTTCCTATAAGTGAGCATCAGGATGAACAAAAAGGCTTTGTTTCATCCGAATCCGCTTCAATTTGAGTCTCTAAAATTTCTAAATTTGTTAGGTTTGTAAATAATGGCATTTATTTGAAGTAATCTAATCTCATTCGCCATACGATGCCTTCAGTCATCACTAGAAAGGATGAGATTTCTGCAATTGGCAATAGTGTGAAGATCGAACCATGCTTTGTTTATATCAACAAAAGGTGTTGTGTTTACATATTCTGGTATCTCGATTTATGAACAATTTTAGATATTCTGTAGTGTTTGAATGAACCAATGATACCTTTGTACTTGTTGAATCCTCGATTTCGAATTCCAAATAAAATACATTCGTTTGTGCTTGTGTCTTACTTCTTAATTCAATTGCGTTATTTCTGAGATTCCTAGTTCATACTACAATTCAAATAATTCAAATAATATACTGGCGTCGCGATGGAGCCTGCGATGGAAAAGTTAGCTATTCATTCAACTTCTGAAGCTTTTGAACATTACTTTGAAAGGTTTGAATTCTGGACTATGACCAAGGAAGATGATGAGGATGTTAATATTTTGGCACATTTTCTCACTTTCATCGGAAAAGAAGCATACAGTTTATTAAGAACTTCTGGCTATGCCGGAAAAGCTTATCTCGCTTCCTTATACAGCTCTCAAAGAACTGCTGATAGACTATGTTACTTATACAAATTTCGAATGCGATAAAGGTGTGAGATCTAGTAAAATGATTCATGAGGATTTTAAAAATTCCACTACATTATGTCATCCCGACCCAGTTCATACTCAAGGTTATGCAGATAATTCGTTGAGGAGTTGCAATGCATTTACGAAGATGGGCACAAGTTTAGTCAGTGTTTGTCCCGTGGCAAGTTCCACTCTTTTAATTCATGTAAATTTCGTGCTTTAAATGTAATGATATTGGACATATTCAGTCAGTCTGTAATACTAATGTTCATCTTGCTGCAACTAATATTAGGTCTTGTAATTCTGATTCTACTTAGTCGTGTATTTATAATAATGATTTATCTTATCAACGATTGCAATAAACAGTGTAGAGTCACAAAGCAGTTCAGCGTTAAATGAAATTCAGAATTCTTGCGAAACAACAGTTTCTAACCATACGTTTTATCAGATTTCTAATGTTATTTTACTAGATATGGCTTTTCCTGGTGATTCATATATTTTTGATGAAATTTCTTACAAATCTGAAGAAAGTATGTTGAGTGAACATAATTATGATCGAAAACCTGATGTACTTTTGATAGATGCTAATTTTTCTATTGATCCTGTAGCGGTAAATAAATCGCCAAAATAAATAGCTCTGTAAGTTTTCGACATTGGATGCTGACCATATGTTTTAGTGTACTCATCTAGCTGAAGGCGCTCGGTCAGGCATCCGCACCAGATCACGTGTGGTAACGCTGTGCTCAACATCTACCGCAATCGCTAGCCAGATTAGATCAGAGAATTCCGATACATTGGTAATCGCCAAATACACTCTTCCGATCTCCTCGACTCTGTCTTTTGATTCCTCTTGGTGGGTACAAATTATATTAGAAGGTGTTACTGGTAAAAGCGTTATCAAACACCGAATACCTGCGTCATCTTCAATCCTTTACTCTGCATTGACGTTCTTATTGAATTCAAGTCATGATGTCATACCAAATATTATTTGTCCTCATAATTCATTTCTTTCTTGTAGGAAACCTGTTCAATGCGAAGCACAAGTATTAAATGAGCTCCATTCTGATTACAATTCAGATTATTTCATATCAAGTGCTGTTCATCCTTATCAAAAAGTCACTTCTAATGTTTACCCTAGTCAATGTGATAAATATGTTTTAAATGAAGCCACATCA